TAGCAGAAGGTTTGGGGTTCCTGAGTGGCAGGATGTATCCATGGGGCTGCGCCTGTGCACCTGCCCCCGCCTCCACCGCTGCCTAATTATTTCTAGTTCATTAACAGCCTCAGGATTGCTGCCTGAGCCGCGCTCGTGATGCTCAGCCCTGCTGCTGACACGCTCCTGCGCAGGCCCGACGCGAAGCTCCCGGCACCTGCCGGAGTCCGGGCTGCTCAGAGGGCTTGGCTGTGGGATGGCAGCGATCTCCGTGGCGTCAGGCCTTTAAATGAGCATCATTAGATCTTCTGAGAGCAGCTAATTACAGTGGAAGCCGTGCTCGTTTGGCAGATGCCATCTGCCCTGCTGGGGCTGTGGCTGTAGTGTGTATTTGGGTAAGGTGCCGAGCTCTGGGCTGGGGGAAGCTGCCCCAGCCGTCCTGCTGTGGTTCCTCGGTGCTGCAGAGACATGCAGGGGCTGGCAGCCTGCAGCCTGCCTTCCCAGGGCTGCTTGCTGTGCTCCCACACAGCCTTGGACACCTTTTTGGGAGTGTTCTTCTGCACGGGCAGGGGGGGCAGGTGATGCCAAAGGAGGGAGAGAGAAGCTCTTGCTTCTCACTCGCAGAACAGTTTGGTCTGGAAGGGACCTTAAAGCCCATCTTGTTCCATCCTTCTGCGTGGGGAGGGACACCAATGAACAATTAAAATACAGTTTGTCCTTGTGATTTCACTGTCATATATCTGGTTTTTGGGGAGGATAGGGGATTGTTGCTCAGGACTAGGCAAAGTGTTTATGGAGACTGTTGCTCAGGAAGGGTTTAAGCAGGGTGAGTGTATTTATCTTCTTCCATGAGCAAGTAAATCTGAATTTATGAACCTGTAAGCTGTCTTACCTCCACGGTGATAGTAAAAAAGATGAAACAGAGCCAGTAATCTCACCAATGCTTTGATTTCTCAAGTCAAGTTGCTTACTCCTCACTTGGGTAGCGTCCAAATTGTGTCACTTGGCCTCAGCTGCTCTTGCAGCTGGAGCTCCCAGGGGGCTGGGGACAGCGTGCACAACAGCAAATGAGATTTTGCTGGAGAAAAGCAAACCCTGGGGGATGGAGGTGGCCTTTGGTGGGCTGTGGGAGGGCACGGCTGGACCCACACAGGGTAGGCTGTGCTGTGGGTCTGGGCTTGTCCATGGTCTGAACTGGGTGACAGATCCCCGTAGCACTGGTGCCTGTGCTGCTGTGTGGAGGGGTTGAAATGCCCGTAGCCCACCTACATGGGTGCTTTGTGCTGCTCCCCTCGTGCTGTCAATGAAGGGTCACAGCATGGCTGAAACCTGGTGGGAGAGGAGGCATCTGGGTGCTGTGCTCTGCCTGAACAGCATGGCAGGGTTAATCCAGACTGGGCCAGGCCAGCAAACACCTTCCCCAAACCCTCAGTAATTATAGAAAAATTACAGTTAGTCTGGTACAGGAGTAAAAGTGCCTGGAGAAGGGCTGGAAGTTGGGGAGGCCTTGGCAGTATGTTGACTTAAGGTACAGAGTGTTCTGAAGGGAGCTTTTGGAAATCTCATGCTTTGAGGGAGAAAACTTCACTTATTGCCAGCAGCAGGGCTCATTCATGAACATACAGACCCAACTCGTTCATTCCTGAGACCCTGGCTTCAAAGTTTTAAAAAGTTTTGTGACCAGCTAGTTGGAAGGGAGTTTTGAAATGTAATGGATGCAGATGCTTGCTGTGCCTTGTCCCTGAATCTGTACCCTCATGCCCTGGGGAGGGACTCCAGGGAGTGGAAGGGCTGCTCCAGGGTTCTGGTGAGCTGTGGGCAGGAGCAGAGGGGGTGTGTGGGGTCACAGGTGAGTACTGGGGTGCCCTGATCCCAGGCATGGCTGGGTAAGCAAAGGCTGCATCACCATTCCTCTAGCCAGGTGCAGTCTGGAGACACAGGGTCTGGAAACCTTTTATTCAAGGGTGGTTGGGTTATGGGAGAGCTGTTACTACAAGGGAACTGGCACCATCCAAGTGTTGGACAGCAGGACTGGCCTCCACCATCTCCTGTCTAAAGTGGGAATTCTCAGTGGGGAAGCAGAGTTGACTTGAAGTTGGATTTATTTCCATTGGTCAAGTCTCCTGTTCCACGGGCTTCAGTCTGCCCATCACTTATGGTCCAGAGCTGGAGCAGATGCCTCCAATGTGTTCTTCAAGGTTAGATTCTAATCTTAATGGAACTGAAATGATTTAACAAGGATTCACAGTTGTGCTGGACAGCTGTCTTGCTGTACCCGTGGCTGCAGGAGCACAGTGAAGATGCCAGCCCCAGGCAGGGAGAGCCAGGTGTGCAGTGTGCTGGTGGCACCTGTGTGGTGCCTCCAAAACACTGCAGAGCGTTGATTGCGACAGCCCAGGAACAGGATTGCAGCTCTTCCCTCTTAGCAGTGATAACTTTGAAGTGACTTTTGAAGGGTTGCTGGAAGCAATTTTTTCAGTGAGCAGATTAGAGATAAGAGAAGAATTCCACCCTGTGGGGCATAAGCAGTTCAATTCATACCAACTCGATGGAGAGGGGAAATTGAAGAGAGCTTATCAGCTTGAGGAAAAATCAAATGTAAACATCATCCCCAGCATGATTATGGTTCACAGCTTAGTTGGATGTCACATGCCTCTGTGGCGTGAAA